AAGAAAAAGAAAAATTCGGAATCTCTTTCAGAGCTCAGAAATTATCGATATTAATTTTTAACTTTTAAAATCATGAACGTTAAAGTGTTATAATCATTTTCGAGTCTAATAAATTAATCCTTATATATTAATCGATTATATTTCTCTTCAATCGTAGAAAATTTATAAAATTTTGCAAAACAATTTTTAGAGATAAGAGATTATCGATATTAATTTTTAACCTTTATCAGAATTAAATGCATCGTCATGATCTTTCGTAAAATTCAGTTATTTTCTTTTTTATTTTCTTTTTTCTTTTTTTTCTTTTTTTTTTTTTTTTCTTCTTTTTCTTTAATTAATGTAGAAAATTTTGTAAATTGGAGAAAAAAATTTTCGGAGCACACAAATATTTCGTGATTTTGAAATTTTTTAGATTGAAAAAATGATAAACGATGGGAAAGAGGGTTCGAACCTTCTGCATCTCCTTCGTGAAGATCGTCTTCTCCTTGATCGTCTCGGTGGACAACTCAATTCGTTTATCTCGTGCCTATCCATTGGTTGCTTTTTAAGAAAATCTTGATTGCAGGTGTAGTATCCTCTATGAAATAAAAAATTTTTTTGAACGACGTAACATGAAGCTTTCCATTTTAATTTCTTTCTCTCTCTCTCTCTCTCTCTCTCTCTCTCTCTCTCAATTTTTTTTCTTTCTCCCTTTTTCTTTTTCTTTTATGTATATATATATATATATATATACATAAATTTCATCGTTTCTTTTTCCCTTGAAAATTATTTCCATGGCGGGCGGGGAAGGGTAAGAGAAGGGGAAGGAAAGAGAAAAAGCAAGAAAAGAGGAAGAATAAAAAAAGAAAGAAAAAAAAAACAAAAAGAAAAAAAAACAGGACGCAGAGATCATCTTGGCCCTAGAAACAGCCATTGTTATTTTCAAATCGATAAAAATACGTATCTCTGGTGACTAAAGTGGGTTAACTGTCAGTTCCTATCGAATCTCGAAACGCTATATTATTTTTGAACCGATAACGTTATCAGACTTTGCGATAAGCAAACTTTTCTCTCTCTCTCTCTCTCTCTCTCTCTTTCTCAGTCTTACTCTCAGTGACAATTTTCATGGGATAATCGAATAAAAAAAAAAAGAAAATCAAATTAAAATTAAAAAAAAAAAAAAAGAAAAAAACTATTTACAATTTAATTACATTTATATTCCCAACGTAAAAACAAAAATATCTATAAATGCATTTTAGAATTTTATTTATAACGACAGTTTCATTCCAATTTTATTTGAAACTTTTGAATATATTAATTTATTTAGAGATAACGTAATTTCGATTAAAGAAATATAAATTAAAAAAAAAAAAAAAAAAAAAAAAAAAAAAAAAGAGAAAAGAGAGAGAAGAAATAAAATGAAAAATAATATCATAATCGAGGTATATAAAATTGATATAAGAAAACTTGGTTTTATATATATCTACATACACACACATATATATATATATATATATATATTTTTTTTTTTTTTTCTTTTTTCGATAAAACATAGATGCATCAAAATTTTAGTTATATCAATTCGAGTGGTACGCAATATTTTAAACCCAATTTTATCTAAGAACTTTTGGAAATATTCGTTCCTTAACGATAACGTAATCTGAAGTCATACAAAAAAAAAAAAATGAACTAAAATTTGGTTCAATAAAAAAATAAAACAAAATAATATTTGTGATTGTAAAAACGTAATCGAGGAGTTGTAAAATAGATAAGAAAACTTGAATTTATATATATATATGTGTGTGTGTGTGTGTGTGTATATATATATCTTTTTTCTTTTTTCCTTTTTGTCGATAAATATCAATGCATTAAAATTACAAAAATACAAGATATTACGGTATACATAAATATAAAATTACAGTATACACAATGTTCATTTTATCTGAAACTTTTGTAAACATTAATTCCTTGATGATAATGTAATCTGTAGACATAGAAAAAAAAAAAAAAAAGAAAAAGAAAAGGAAAAAGTAGAGCAAGAAAAAAGGAAAAAAAAAGAGAACAAAATTAAATGAAATAAATATTTGCGAATAGAAGAAAGAAGAAGAAGAAGAAGAAGAAAAAAGTAAACGAGGAACTGTAAAATTTATAATGAAAAATTCAATTTGTATTTATCTTTTTTTTTTTGTTTCTTTTTCGTTTCTTTTTTTTTCCATTATAAACTTAGTGTTCATACAACCTTTTTTATTTTTATTTTTTTTTTTTCTTTTTTTTCTTTTTTTTTTTTTTGATTATAAACATAATCCATTACCCTTTAGATTTCCGAAGGATCCCGTAGGAGACGCCACGTTTAAGGGCAAGTTGTACTTGCTTTTTAATTTCCGTTCCAGGGACGTCATATTCCTGAATGATATAATTACTGATTTCACGAGGAGTCAATCCCTGTGCGTCCTGAAGCTTACGTATCGCGTTTACAACGAGAGCCTCGATTTTTGGTCTCCTTTTTCCGTTCATGACCGAT